GTTCCAACTTTATTATAAGGGTCCCCCCATACTGATAGTTATATATTACTAATATATTAATTATGGTTAACCAACTTTATTATAAGGGTCCCAATACTGATAGTTATACATTACTAATGCATTAATAATGGTTAACCAACTTTATTATAAGGGTCCCAATACTGATAGTTATATATTACTAATATATTAATTATGGTTAACCAACTTTATTATAAGGGTCCCCAATACTGATGGTTATATATTACTAATGTATTAATTATGGTTAACCAACTTTATTATAAGGGTCCCCATACTGATAGTTATATATTACTAATATATTAATTATGGTTAACCAACTTTATTATAAGGGTCCCCAATACTGATAGTTATACAGTATATTACTAATATATGAATAACTCTTAACCAACTTTATTATAAGGGGCCCCACACTGATAGTTATATATTACTAATATATTAATTAAGCGTAACCAACTTTATTAAGGGTCCTATGAGAAGTGGTTCATTGGGATGGGCAGAAACACAGTTTAATAACAATTGGGATAGGCAGAAACAGTTTAGTAACAATTAGTTAAATACTAATATGTCATTAACTTCTATATTAACATATAGTTTGTAAATAAGCATTTAACATTCTAATTATGTAATAAATAACTGTTAATTAGTGCCAAGAATACATTTAGTTAACTATTAAAACACTATTAATACAGTATTTGTTAACAGATTGTTTTTTGTTTGTTAAAACATTAACAAACAAATTATACACAAATAACTAATATTTAATTAATGATTAAAAAACCATTAACTTGTGGCAAATAGATATTTTAGTAACAATTAACAAAGGGTTAGTTAATGACTAGTTTGCTATTTATTAAGGACCCTTATTATGGAGTGTTACCCTAAAATGTTCAGCTGAGGCACTGATATTACAAAGCCATTTTAAAAACAAATGATCTATTGACATTTCCTCCTTCACCGTTTCCTCTTATTGATAAGAGCCGACAGACGGGGAGAACTATCGATGGGTCGTCGTGTCAATGTCAATAACCATGAAGCTTGACTGTGGAAAGGGCATAGGAATGCGTTGTTGATCCATTAATGTGTACACAGACCCTTGTGTGCCGTTCTCGGTCATGTTTATTACACATATCCTTTCAGGATCAACTGATTTAATGAAGCAGAAGTCTCCGTTGATTGAGCAGCGCCTTGACAAATGATCAGGGACAAAAACAGGGGGGGTTGGATCGTATATAGAGAGTCACACGCACACACACACACGCACGCATTGGAAATCAATTACACTCAAGCAGCGACTTAAACTTTCGGTATCGATTCCAAACAGCCTAACTCATGCTTTGCTGCATTGTTATGTCTAAATTATAGTGTTGGTCGGAGACATTAAAGTACACAAGGGAGAGCCATAAAGCCATAAATCCAAGTCCACCTTTCCGCCAGGGCTGGGAAAAGCAAGAAACACTACACAACAACAAAACAACACACGCGAAGCGATGCTTTTTGAGGGGCCGCAGTTCAATGTGGGCTTCAGGTAAACACGATGGAAGCCCATTCAGACAAACCAAACTCAGCACTTTCTGGCACCTGAAGGCCACCATAGCTCATGAACGCTTGAGCAACGGAGTGGGAGATGAGCGATACTCTGGATAGAGAAAGAGGAACTCAAATGGTAATGTTATGTCGAGTAACTCCTGACAACCCCTGCGGCGTTTGACCCATGAATATGGTAACCCTGAGAAAACATGGAAACTATACGGCACCCGATGTCAGTTTCCATATTTAAAATGACGCAGGGTAGAATAGTTTAGTGGCTTGGGTGTTCGACTCTGTGTTCGATCCCCGCTGTCCACAGCCATACCTGTCGGCATCCTTGAACCGGATGCCCCAACCTCTACCTGCTCCTTAATGACATGGATCCGAAATCACTGTCATTCGTTTTGGATAAAAGTGTCTGCTTCTATCACTTAATAGTAAAGGAATAGTAAATAGTGAAATGCACTTAGTTAGCACACTCATTCTGTCGTCATTCGACCAGCAACTAACAAACAAAAACTCAAGGAAAAGATACAGGGAATGTGAAATATCATCATTAACGCCACATATCTTCCAGTAAGGACATCTCATCTTGGCCAGGCGATTCATCGCTGCCAACAGTTTCCCATGACAACACAAAAACACGCAAGGCTCATATCCATTAAAGTTGACAGGACATATTTAAAATGGTGACAATTCCTGCTGGTGGATCACATCATTTTTCATGTAGATAACAAAAACGCATTACAGCAACACAGTTTCTCTTTCTTTTTGTATTCATGTAAGAAGAAGCAATCCGTTTCAATCAATACCAGAGTTACAGAGGGGGCAAACTTGAAGAGACTGGGACAGTAATTGCACACAGCCTTACTTTCATCTAACCCTACCTCTTCTGTGTAATGATACGCTGGGCTAATGGCTTTGCCCTTGAAGAATCCCCTATCTCCTTATGTACAACTTTGATGCAGCTATTATGGCCACTTAAAATGAGTAGCTTCCAATACTCAAGACTGCAGCCCTCAATTGTTGTGGCTTTTTTAACAGAATAGGTATTATAATTATTCATCGATGTAACCCCCTAAGCCTGAGCATTTCGAGACCTCTCTATTGCGTTGAAACACTTTTTCATTTATTCTTTCTATTTCTAAAAAATACGTACTATATTGTGCATTATATTGTGTGTGTTTTTTGTTACAAATGTGTTAGTGTGTCTTCTATGAACTTAGACATATACAGGTCATTGACAGTGGAAGTTTGCAAACTAATGATGTCAGACTAACTAATCAGAGGTAGGTTTGACGACGACATGGACAGACATGGGACTTCCCAACAGCATCTGGGCCTGTCGAATATTGTACGGGGGCAATAACAAGTGTGCGATAACAACAACTTCTTGTGTGGCCAACATGCAAAAACACCTGCAAAAACATTTCTCTTGAAGTTGTGTGTGCTTGACTTGGGGTACATTGACCCTCCCTTGAGAAATCACTGCAGCATTCAGTGATGGTATGTAAACTGGACTTTATTGAAACCTCTTAAAGCTTTACCATGTGTCAGGTTGTCATGCTTTTGATAATATATATAAAACACATCAGGGTTATTGGAAAGAGGAGTGACTTCGAGACACTCAGGAATGTCCCCGGATTTGTTGCATTAGTCACAGTTGTACTTTAGCTTCCTTCTGCTTACTTAATGTTGAATGATGTCTTGGCTTATTCACTTTATTTATAGCTGTTAGCAGAGACCATGAGCTTGCATTGCTCCCTCCTTTGGTGACATGATAACCTGGTGTGGTCATCACTTCATTGCACCCCTACAGGGAATGAGGGCAGAAACACTCACCCGGTATTTAATATCGTCTCAACTTTACCAGCAAACCCTTGCAGGGCTGGTGCGCATTGAAGTGAGACTTATAAACACATAGTTTTATTTATATGATTTACTCCTCCAACCCCTAAACACATTAAATATGATGTTCCTAAACCCTGGTGTACATATACTGACTTGTACATTTCAAATCTGATTGTGCGTTATGAATGAGTGTTTAGTGTGCATTTTGAATAACATATTGTAAATGTTTCTGCTCCCCACATTGCGCTGGCCCCTTATGTCCCATATCCATCATGTTGCATATCTGTCAGGGCCCGGGTTCCTCCCGGATATATTGTCGCCATCAAAATGTGTGGGCTGCGCAGACTGCAGTGAAAAATACAATGGAAAGACACATTACTCTCCAAAAAGGGAAAGGAAAACACTAGGCTGGAACACAGAGGTGTGTATAATTGCCTTCCATTAGTCATGTTCTCTCTGAGGTGAACCGTATCTGCTGTGGTTACCATGGGTGACGCCATTGATGCAGCATAGCATTATAGTGTAGCTAGAGTGTTACACTATTAAGATTAAAGTCTGTGTAAACCAAAAGTAAATGTATTTAGAGTTTGTCACACTATAGAAAAAGGTGTTGTTAACCACCCAGCCAAATTTGAATGATTTAAAAAAGCATATAAAATTAGTATTTAAAATTGTGAAAAAATAAGTATTATTCTCAGCTCTGAGGCGCTGGGGGCGTGTCCGCTGAAGGCGCTAAGCCACGGCCATTTGCGCACGCGGGGGCGGAGCCTCTCTCAACTGTCAAACTCTTGATTGAGCATGACAAGCAGTGACGCAACGGCTGTTATGGGCGGGGCAATGCTACGGGGTAGCGCTTACATCATCATGTACCCTTAAAGCCTCACCCATAAATCCTGAACGCAAAACTGGTGAAAAATAGAAAAACGGTCTAACTCCACAAACAGCCTTTCAACGTTTTCAGCAATGACTTTCTAACGTGTGTAATGTGTTTAGAAACAAATCTCAGAATTTGCTTTACACGGTCTTTAAGTCAATTTGTCATTTTTATCAAAAGCTACTTAGTGTGTTCTTGTTTTAATCATCTTTAATGAGCAGGTTGGGTTTAGGGATTTTGCCCAAGGATGTCTTTGTGTCGGCAGCATACACTCGGACTTTCGACTCCAAAGTAATCTAACCTTGACTAATCTAATCTTTTTATGTGTATGGTTAAAATAATGTACAGAGAAGAGACGTATTGTGAGAGTGGTATTGTGGTACCCTTCTTCCATCATGATACATAATTAAACAGTGTTCATATGTGGGGCTAAACAACGGTAATTTGAGTGTTAAAGGGTGTTGTCCTCTGTGGATAGAGGTGCTGCTAATGGTGATTCCAGTTCTGTTAGAGTAATGGCCACAAGTCCCCCTGGAGCCTCCACTGGTAAATGGACTGCATTTATATTGTGCTTTAATAACCCATGGCCACTCAAAGCATTTTACAATTACATATTCACCCATTCACAGACCCATTCATACACTGACAACGGTGTCAACCATGGAAGGAAACCACCAGCTCGTCGGGATCAGTTAGGGTTAGGTGTCTTGCTCAGGGACACCTTGACACTTAGGAGCCGGCCGGGGATCAAACCAGCAACTTTTTGGTTGCCAGAAAGCATGCTCTACCGCCTGAGCTACTGCCCCCCATGGTGGATTCAGTGTCAAGTTCTGGATGTGACAACATGACTTATCACTTATAATGGGAATCATCCCTCACGTTCAGGCAAACACGAGGTGTCTCTGGGAAATGGCCCCTGTGATTACAATGAGGCTTCATAAGCATTGGTCTACATATAGATTAACCACAGCCCAATCCATCAAGACAGAGAGGTAGGTGTTATAAAATGAAAAAGCATTAAACTTTACATCAATTCCAGAGAAGAACATGTGAAAATACCTTTTGCCTCAATGAATATTCAGAAGGCTGCCCTCTCCTCCCAAATCCCAAAGACAGGGGATATTGGTGAAAAACTACTTTGTTCTTAGGAGCCCCAATTAAGATGTAAATTCAATTCAAATCCCTTCGCATTGTCCTGATTAATAACTGATTAATAACTCAAACTGATATTTCCAAAGTTCCCATTTGACAATCTCCTAATGAAAAAGTTGTAGAGAAACCGGAGTACCGGTATGTTCCTGGTCATCATTCTGACACACCATTCATTGGACATGGTTGTTATCGATGTGCATGTAAAAAGCATTGCTCTGGAAATTACATCTTTGAAAGATTTTCAAAGATGTTCTCCCAAGTGGATGAATCTGAAAACATCGGTCGCACCTCACTGTACATTGGACTGGTACACTGGTTACTGTGGTGATTGGATTCATCAATGTCTTCTTGGTTAGAGTAAAACAGCCAAGTACAAGTGAATTATCCTTATCCACCGTGTGGGAATAATTAAGTAAAACATAAAAATAATCATCCTAACTTGAATTGAACTTTTAAATGTAAAAAGAAAACGCTAAATATATTTTTGATAACATAAGATCGGGGAAACACAGTCAGCACATCAATTTATCATCAGCAAACCAAAAAATCTAATATCTCTCCCATAGTCATATATTCTCTCTCTCTCTCTTCAAAATCGATATTTCCACAGCCGTCTCATGGCCGGGGGTGGGGGTGGCTGTGGACAAGCTCCGGTCGCCGTGAAACAGACGGCTGTCGGGCAGCCAGCTTCGGACACCAGAGGAGACGAATATAGAGGAGCAGTGAGGCGAAGGAGGGACAGCGGGAGGAGGAGGAGGAGAAGCCCCGGCCGATGATTGATACAGGTGCCAGCCGGAGGGGTCAGACCCATGCCTCAAAAAAGCGGGGCCATCGATTCTGCTGCCCTTTAAACAAACAAAGGGGCATCTCTCCACTTGAGCTCCACAGTGCTGTTATAAGGCCTGACTCCTTCCAACCCCTTCCCAAATAACTCCTCTCAGCAGTGCTGCGCCGCACACGACAGTCTGCCTGCCGCCAAACTGGTCGAATACATAAGCCCACCTGAATTCTGTGTTGAATCTTTATATATATATATATATATATATATATATATATATATATATATATATATATATATATATATATGCACTTTCTTCTTGCACCCTAGAGATCTGAAATATAACAACAACTCACAACATTTTACTGAATATATACTATACTATTGTGGAGTGTGTGTGGTTGATGGTCACCCATGCCTGGTTTACAGCCTCACTTGGCCCAAGTCAGACTGACCAGACTCTGGGTCTGGGTGGGGCTGCACACCTGTGGTGCAGAGCAATCATGGCACCCAGGATAAACCAGCTATCACCACACACATAAGAGAGAGAGAGAGAGAGAGCGAGAGAGAGAGAGAGAGAGAGAGAGAGAGAGAGAGAGAGAGAGAGAGAGAGAGCCACTGTCATGGCAGAGTGTTACACCTGCTCAGCTTGTACCATCTCGCCATCTCCAATAAATGGATTTACACCTCAACATGTACCTGTGTCCTGTGCCCCAGCAACAGCCACTTAGGTGGCGTGGGGCAGAGGTCTCCTGCAACAACTATACAGTATAATTGAATACCTACTAAAAACTACTAAAATAAACTATTGCTTCCTCTGAGTCATTTTTCTTGTTCCTAGCTTGAGAGCTGCTTAGATGCCAGCTGTTTAGCAGCAGTCATTAATAAGAGGAAGGAGACCGCCTCCACACCCATACTCCCCCCCCCCCCCACCCATCCAAGGTGAGGGGGTGGAGTGGGAACACACATCCAACACTCCTGTTCCTGAGCGAGAGTCGGCGAAAGAAAGCAGAAGGAGTCTGAGCGGATTGCAGGGAGGGAGGAGGAATCGATGCGTCCTAATGGTCTCAGTCGAGCACTTTAAAACCAAATGAAAAGAGCCGTCATCACGTATGTCGCCCAGAAGGACTCTGATTGGTCGGACGCGACACATGTTGGCCATGTGTGCGTCTGTGCCCATGCGGCACGGTAAGGCACCGTGAGAGAGGAGGCACCAGTAAAGGTCAGGGCAGAGGAATAAGCAAACGAGACCTGACTAAATAATCACCACACTGTGCTGCCTGCCCCCCCCCCCCTGTCCTGTAGACAGCTGTGGGATTTTTCCATAGCCTAAATATGGCTTAGTTGTGGGTTTTAAGGCTGTGGGGTGTTTCCATATTGGATTCAATGGGAGTGTGACTGTTTCATCTCTAACCATAATGTTGCTATGCAACAATACACTGAGCGGTCTCCGGTGTCTGCTTCTTCTCTTTTTTTGTTGTTGATTGAGCCATTTTAATCAATGGTTCATACGGAAACAAGGGAAAATATCAAAGCACTTGAATTGTGAATAAATAAACAAAGAAATTACAACTCTAGTGTGTACATACTGTATATATTTTGCAAAAACATTTTGACATCAACCTTACAGAAAGACACAAATGTGTACACAATGACAGGACTAGATCCTTCTTTCACAGATTTGTAGAAACCTGTATTTGCGAGTTTTCAAAGCAGCCTAAATTGTCAAACTGATTCTAATCAATAGTAATGACCAGACACAGATGAGCTGTACAGAGGGAGTGGGATGGCTCTATATATAACTGAAGCGTTTTGTTTATTTGAATGATTAGCGTGGTACGTTGCTGCCCAGAGCAGCAAATATTTATTCTCTCTGCCATTCATTTCATATTATTAGATGTGTGAAATGTGCTCTCGGGGATCTCATTAGACACTCAGGGAGATGAATACGACAGCGTAGCATTAGGTCGTGGCGATGATGACATCATCTTGACCTAAGATGCTGCTGTCCATGTTCATTCAAAAATAATGAAGACACATAGCCTAGGATCACATGGAAAATCAACAATAATAAACGTATTTATGAAAGGACATTTTTATAGGTATTTGTATCTAATCAGAACTGACTGGAATAATACTACACTGTTAATATTCACAGCAATCAACCAATCATCAGCTGTCACTGTCAAAGACCAGTTTTACTGGCCGGGAGGTGGCAGGCAGGCGATGCTTAAAGCAGTATAAGCAGTGTTTTCATGGTGAGGGAAAGTGGACCGCTTTTCTTTTCATTCTTTTTTTAGTGAAATATATGTGGACTTGTTTTTTTTCCACCAACTGCTCAATCATTTCGGTAACCTCTCATGACTAACCTCTCCTCCTGCCTTTATCCTCTAGACTCACTCTACAAATCTTCCAACTGGAGTTGAATAACTGAATAGCAAATTTCAAAACAAAACAAAGCGAATCAAAACCGACGTTAGCCAACCGACAACCGCACGCTAAAAAGTTTAGAATCTATAGGAAGATGGCCGGGAAAAGCGCTCTGTGTTGGGATGAGTTTGGCAGCGGTGAGCACCGACAGTCATTTCCACAATAGGCTCCACTTTCTCAAATGACGCCAGTAATTTGCTCATACATCTCTGCAAACAACTCAGCCAACCATAAAACGATCCCTAAATCCTGCCGCTAAAGCAGAGGCTTACCGCTCGACGGACACTTTAATCGGTTCTTTGTGTGTGTGTGTGAGTGTGACGTGTGTGTGTGTGTTATGTGTGTGTGTGTGTGTGTGTGTGTGTGTGTGTGTGTGTGTGTGTGTGTGTGAGATACGTGTGTGTGTGTGTGTGTGTGTGTGTGTGTGTGTGTGTGTGTGACGTGTGTGTGTGTGTGATGTGTGTGTGACATGCGTGTGTGTGTGTGACGTGTGTGTGTGTGACATGTGTGTGTGTGTGTGTATGTGTGTGTGTGTGTGTGTCTGATGTGTGTGTGTGTGTGACATGTGTGTGTGTATGTGTGTGTGTGTGTGTGTGTGTGTGTGAGTGTGATACGTGTGCGTGTGTGTGTGTGATACGTGTGTGTGTGTGTGTGTGTCTGATGTGTGTGTGTGTGTGTGTGTGTGTGTGGTGGTTGTTGGGGGTCTTGGCAGAGAAAGTATGATGGCAGAGGAAGGGTCCCGTTTTGGAGGGGAATCAGTACTTCCTGTGTGTGTGTTGGTCTTCGGGGTTAACTGTACAGACAGTAATTTTCCCTTTTTTGTATTGGTCCTTATCTCCCCTCACAGCTGCTGTGTTTTGCCGGGTGGACACCCATTAATCAAACCTTTCTACCGCGGCCACTTGGACAATCCATCACCTTCCCCTCTCTCTTCCCCTCTTCCTCCCTTTCTTCCCATGTCTCTCCTTCCCTTCTCGCCGGTTCCTATGCCCGACGCTCCCCAGCCCCCGTTCCTCCGAGAGGTAAAACATGTCATCTCACATGCCAACAACACGCAGCCCGGAATTAAATCCCATGCATGCAAATTGCTGCATTTTAGTGAAAGTGGGTGTTATTGGCTTCGAGTGGACGGCTTGTCACTGTGGAGGAACGGTGTCATGGGGAATGTTTGATGAATGAATGAATGAATGGCTTTGAAATACTCGCTTCTCCGCAAAGTAATGAACCATCATCCCATGCATTCTTCTTCTTCTTCTTCTTCTTCTTCTTCTTCTTCTTCTTCTTCTTCTTCTTCTTCTTCTTCTTCTTCTTCTTGTTTTGGTCCCAGAAAGAAATCTTAGAAACGCACTCAAAACAAACATTGAGAGGTTTGACGGGAGGTTTTTGGAAAACATTTGTTATTGTCTCCTATTCAAACCCCATCTCACCGTTTTTTCCCATAACTGT